TCTAAATATCTTTTTTTTTTTCTTTTTTTATAAGTGATCACGTAATCTCTGTTCTCAATTGCATAAGGAGCCTGGAGGGGTGGGAGTAGAGAAACAACAGTACACTGATCTTCCCATGTGAATGTCTTTGCAGGGGTGGGGTTGCCAGCACACAAGTCTGATCATTGGGGGAAAGGCAGCACAGCCATAAAACTGACCATGCTGAGGATGTGCTTTCATGCCTAGCTTGGTCAATTTAAAATACGAAAGCAGTGGCATGGAATTGTCAGGATCACCAGGTATTTTCACATAAAGGGAGAAATACAAAGTGAACAGGATACTTTTAACACGAGGCACATATCAGTAATGTGAAATGTTGGAGTGCCATATTCTTTGATTTACAATTCTAGTAAGCCAATAACTCTTTCCGTTGTTTATTAACTGGAATAATTCCACTGGCCTTTTAAAGATATGAAGAGAGCAATATCACCACATGTATTGTACAGCATGTGGAATATTAGGAGTAAACAGAGAGGACAAGGATAGATTATGTACCTTGTAGGTCATCATTTTAGAACCATTTTGGGGCTTTCCCAGCTGTACATTGTATAGGAAACCATAATTTCTGGGGTTGCAGAAAAAAGGCAATTTACCACTTGAAGGGTCCCAATTCCAAAATGTTACTAGATTATGAATTATTAAACTGAATACTGAAACCTTACTATAGACCAGTTCTCAATACCCACTTTTTTTTTCAGATCGTTCCTTTATTCTACTATATTGTACCAGTAAAGCAAACAGAAAAACATGGTGTGCTACAAATAACGAGAACAGTTAATCAATCAAACAGTTTCGATCATCACTTCAAACTGGACATCTATAGAGGAAATCTGTAATAATAAGGGATCAAAGGGGCAGAGAAGAGATTTCTGCAGAGCCTAAGCAAAATGTGAACTGTCATGGTGTGTGTCAACAATATGGTTGTAACTGCAGAGGAAAGCTGCCCAAATGAATTAGTCTAGAAAAAAAGCCTCTGACGTTATTCTAAGCATCTCATTAGCCTCTGTAATGAGAGATGTCTCGCTGAAGTGCCAATGAAGTAACAACTGGAGTGGATCATAAAAACAGAGCCAGCCGTGTGCTGGTTCAAGGTGTTCAAGTAGCTTTAAGTGAGGTGAAGAGGATTGAGAAGTCAAGAAAAATATGTGTTTTATGATAAATGGAAGCACAGGTGACAAAACACCGTAATATGGATACAGTAGTACAGAGGACTTAACCGTCTAGGGGGAAAAAAAAGAAGAAAAAGAAAAATCCATCAAGATGATAATTTGATTCAAGTGCCATGTCACAGATCCTCCACAACACTGGAATAATGGAATTGTCAACCAGAGACATATGGTTAGTAAAGGTTGAGTCTTAAAAAAATAAAATAAAATGCAACTTTACAATATAAGAAGTTGATAAAGTGTTAATAAGAGATGAGGTTGCAGTAGCTCTCAGTGATCTGAGCCAGCATCATGAGGAAGCAACAGCAAGCAATGCCCATCCCAAAATAATATGCTGCCCCTACAGTGGGGAAAATTATTATTTGATTCCCTGCAGATTTTGTACATTTGCCCACTTACAAAGAAATGGAAGGGTCTATAATTTTTATCATAGGTGTATTTTAAATGATAGAGACAGAATATCAAAAAAAAATCCAGAAAAAAACAAAATACAAATGTTATAACATCGAATTGCATTTCAGTGAGTAAAATAAGTATTTGATCCCCAAGCAAAACATGACATAGTACTTGGTGAGAAAACCTTGTTGGCAAGCACAGAGGTTGGACATTTATGCTTAGTTACCAGGTTTGCACACATCTCAGGAGGGATTTTGGTCAACTCTTCTTTACAGGTCTTCTATAAATCCTTAGTTTCTTGGCTGTCCCTTGGCAACTCAAAGTTTTACCTTCCTTCATAAATTTTCTATAGGATTAAGGTCTGGAGACTGGCTAGGCCACTCCATGACCTTAATTTGTTTCTTCTTGAGCCACTTCTTTGTTGACTTGGTGGCATGTTTTGGATCATTGTCATGCTGGAAGACCCATCCATGACCCATCTTGAGTGTTCTGGCTGAGGAAAGAAGGTTCTCATCCAACATTTTACAATACATGGCCTCGTCCATTGGCCGCACAATGCAGCAAAGTCAGCCTGTACCTTTATCAGAGAAACAGCCCCAAAGCATAATATTCCACCTCCATGCTAGATTGTAGAGATGGTGTTCTTAGGGTCCTAGTCAGCATTTTTCTTCCTCCAAACACGGTGGGTTGAGTTAATGCCAAAGAGCTGAAATTTGATCTCATCTGACCACAGTACTTTCTCTCGATCCTTATCTGAATTTAGATGTTCATTGCCAAACTTCAGACGGGCCTGTGCCTTTTCAAGGAGGGGGACCTTGAGGACGCTGCAGGATGTCAATCAGTGTTATCAATGGTTAGTTTGGTGACTGTGGTCCCAACTGCCTTGAGATCATTCACAAGCTTCTCCCATGTAGTTCTGGGCTGATCCCTCCCTTTTCTCATGATCATCCTTACCCCATGAGGCAAAATTTGGCATGGGGCTCAAGACCAATACCGATTGATGGTTATTTTGTAATTGTTCCATTTGCGAATAATCATTCCTACAGTTGTCTCCTTCTCACCAAGCTTCTTGCTGATGGTCTTGTAGCCCATTCCAGCCTTGTGCAGGTCTATAATCTTCTCCCTGACATCCTTTGCTCTTACCCCATAATGATGGTGAGGTTTGAATGGAAGAAAGAGATTCTGTGGACAGGTGTCTTTTATACACATGAGTTGTCGTTAGCAGCGCCTTCTTAACCCCTTGACGCTGACGTCGCACAAATATGCAGCCTCACGGAACTGGGCTTTTTTCCGTGGGGCCGCATATTTGCGTACCTGTCTTTGTGCTGGGAGCGCGCCGCTCAGCGCGCTCCCGGCACAAAGATCGCAGTCTCACTGAGAGCCCCAGGTCCCGTTCTAGCAATCAGGACCCGGGACTCCTGATTCCAGGTCACATGATCGCTGTTATAGCCTCTGATTGGCTATCACAGTGATCAGTCACAGTGCAGCCCGGTCCCTTTGCTTTTTTCTCTATGAATGAAGAAGAGAGATACATTGTATCTCTCTAACTCCTGGCATAGAGAGAAAAAAAAAGGTAAAAAAAAAAAGATAAATATTAAAAAATAAAAGAAAAAATAAATAAAAATACCTAGATCAAGGTTTGATCTAGTTCAGTGCCAGGGTTAGTGTTTGGGTCAAGGTCAGGGTCCAAGGTCAAGGGAAAAGGTCAGGATTTAATAAAAAAATTGGTATCAGTGTCAGTTAGTGTCAATGTCAGTGTGTTTTAGGTAAAAAAAAATAGACAAAAACAAAATGCGCACTATTGTTTCTGGGCTGTACTACGAGTACAAACAACAAATAAAATACACTTATATGGTATCGCAGCGATCGTCAAGAGCTGGGAAATGTATTTTGGGTTGTTTTTTGGAGGTAGGTTATAGTCGTAACAAGAAACACAGCTAAATAAAAAAAATTATTTTTTTTTACTATTTTGGGCCAGTTTTCCTTTGATAATAAAAAGAAATCAGGAACTATCCATTACCATTTACCACCAAATGAAAGCCCAATTTGTCCTGAGAATATCAAGGTATAATCCACCTGGATGTACAAAGTAGTTGTGATGATATGTATGGTTTTTACTAACAGATGTCAACGTTGCAGAATTGTGCTTAGGCATTTAGATTTGTTTTACCCTTAGGCGTGAAGGGGTTAAACTGACAGGACTAATCTGCATACCACGTGAGCGCATAACCAGTCTGTGGGACCCAGAAATATTGTTGGTTGGTAGGGGATCAAATACTTATTTTACTCTCTGTGTTGCAAATCAATCTATAACATATGTATCATGTTTTTTTCCGGATTTTTGGTTGATATTCTGTCTCTATCATTTAACCATTTAAAGCCCGGCCAATAGCTGTATGGCGTCCGGGAAAATGCACTAGCTTTCGGGAGGCCACCATATGGCGTACTCTCGCACATGCGCAGTTCGCGCGTGTGCAGAGCCGCGCAGCGGCGCGATCTGTCACCGGCCATGTACCTCGGACACAGCCGATGACAGATCTGAGTATCGGCCCCGTTGCCGGTACCATGTGACCTGCTGTGACCAATCACAGCAGGTCACATGACAGTTGTATACAATAGATGGCTTCATTCATGCCATCCATTGTATACTAGGGTCTAGCTGTCAATGGTCACAGCTAATCACATGCACATGTCATGTGATAAGCTGTGGCCAAATCACAGCTAAGCACAAAAAAAAAAAAAAAACCCTGAATGAATCGATGTCATTCAGGTAAATGCTTGCTTATAGCAAAGTAATTCTTTGCTATAAGCAAATTGTGTAAAAAAAAAAAAAAATATATATATATATTGATCACTTCCCCAGAGTAGTACAATGTTACTATGGTAACATTGTACTACTCTGGACATAGTGAAATATAAAAAAAAAATCTTAAAAAAAAAATCTTAAAAAAAAAAAAATGTAATAAAATTTTAAAATAATAAAACAAATTTAAAAAAAAAATTTACCGTATTTTCCGGCGTTTAAGACGACTGGGCGTATAAGACGACCCCCTACTTTTCCTGCTAAAATATAGGGTTTGAGCTATACTCGCCGTATAAGACTACCCCTCTTCCAACGCACACCAAATAAAAATGAAAAAAACATCAGATTTGATTTCAATATGGTATGCTATTTCAGTATGGTATTCCAATGATGGGGTGCTATTCCTCCCACTGACACCAATGATGAAGCACTATTCCTCCCACTGACACCAATGATGGAGCACTATTCCTCCCACTGACACCAATGATGAGGCACTACTCCTCCCACTGACACCAATGATGGAGCACTATTCCTCCCACTGACACCAATGATGAGGCACTACTCCTCCCACTGACACCAATGATGGGGCACTATTTCATCCACTGACACCAATGATGGGGCACTATTCCTCCCACTGATACCAATGATGGGACACTATTCCTCCGACTGACACCAATGATGGTGCCCCATGTCAGTGGGAGGAATAGCGCCCCATCATTGGTATGTCAGTGGGAGGAATTGCGCCCCATCATTGGTGTCAGTGGGAGGAATTGCGCCCCATCATTGGTATCAGTGGGGAGAGAATAGTGCCCCATCATTGGTGTCAGTGGGGAGGAATAGTGCCCCATCATTGGTGTCAGTGGGGAGGAGGAGGAATAGTGCCCCATCGTTGGTGTCAGTGGGGGAGGAATAATGCCCCATCATTGGTATCAGTGGGAGGAATAGTGTCCCATCATTGGTGTCAGTGGGAGGAATAGTGCCCCATCATTGGGGTCAGTGGGAGGAATAGTGCCCCATCATTGGGGTCAGTGGGAGGAATAGTGTCCCATCATTGGTGTCAGTGGGAGGAATAGTGCCCCATCATTGGTATCAGTGGGAGGAATAGTGCCCCATCATTGGTATCAGTGGGAGGAATAGTTCCCCATCATTGGTATCAGTGGGAGGAATAGTGTCCCATCATTGGTGTCAGTGGGAGGAATAGTGCCCCATCATTGGTATCAGTGGGGAGAATAGTGCCCCATCATTGGTGTCAGTGGGAGGAATAGTGCCCCATCGTTGGTGTCAGTGGGAGGAATAGTGCCCCATCGTTGGTATCAGTGGGGAGAATAGTGCCCCATCGTTGGTATCAGTGGGGGAGGAATAGTGCCCCATCATTGGTGTCAGTGGGAGGAATAGTGCCCCATCATTGGTATCAGTGGGAGGAATAGTGTCCCATCGTTGGTGTCAGTGGGGGGAGGAATAGTGCCCCATCGTTGGTGTCAGTGGGGGAGGAATAGTGCCCCATCATTGGTATTAGTGGGGAGAATAGTGCCCCATCATTGGTGTCAGTGGGGAGGAGGAATAGTGCCCCATCATTGGTATCAGTGGGGGGAATAGTGCCCCATCATTGGTGTCAGTGGGGAGGAGGAATAGTGCCCCATCATTGGTATCAGTGGGGAGGAGGGTGTAGTGCCCCATCATTGGTATCAGTGGGGAGAACAGTGCCTCATCGTTGGTGTCAGTGGGGGAGGAACAGTGCCTCATCGTTGGTGTCAGTGGGGGAGGAACAGTGCCTCATCGTTGGTGTCAGTGGGGGAGGAACAGTGCCTCATCGTTGGTGTCAGTGGGGGAGGAACAGTGCCTCATCGTTGGTGTCAGTGGGGGAGGAACAGTGCCTCATTGTTGGTGTCAGTGGGGGAGGAACAGTGCCTCATCGTTGGTGTCAGTGGGGGAGGAACGGTGCCCCATTGTTAGTGTCAGTAGGGGAGAGGATCGGCTGCTCCTTCTTCCAGTTCGGCAGCTCGATTTTCGCGGAGCCGCTCGGCTCCGCCTCCTCGACGGTGATTGGTCGCCTGTGTGCCTTTCCAGTGCTGGCGCCCAATCACCGGTGAGGAGGCGGAGCCGAGCGGCCGCGTGACCATCGAGCGGCCGAACTAAAAGAAGGAGCAGCCTGGACCGGATCGTCGTGGGACCGGAGCCAGGTAAGGTACAGCAGCCCCTCTGCCCACCCCTGTACTTAGTGTCCGTTGGAGGAGGGGGGGGGGCGGCGCGCGCCGCCTCGAAAAAGTGCCGCCCTGACACCGGCTCGCACCGGCGTATAAGACGACCCCCGACTTTTCAGAAGATTTTCAGGGGTTGAAAAGTCATCTTATACGCCGGAAAATACGGTATTTTTTTTTTTCACACTGTCACAAGTCAGTGTCCCTGATCACCGCCATGCCAGTTATATGAAGACGCTGTACTGCACTGGGGACAGTATGTAAAAAAAAAATAGTGAAAATAATTTTATTTATTTTTTCATTTTCCAAAAAATGACAAAAAAAAATACAACTTCAAAAAACTCGCCATGCCTCTTATGAAGTATGTCGGACTGTCTACTCTGCAGAAAGGGGTCATTTGGGGGATATCTGTACTATTCTGACATTCTTGGACCTCAAGAAATTAGATTGGCTGTCAGTACTTCAGGATTGATCAATATTCAGATCTATACCATAGTTTGTGAACTCTATAGCTTTCCTACAAACTAAAAAATACATCCTAATTTGGGTTATTTTCACCAAAGACATGTAGTAGAATACATCTCGGCCTAAATTTATGAAGAACAATTATTTATTTGCAAACGTTTATAGCAGAAACAAGGAAAAACGTGTTTTTTTTTTTCAAACTTTTCAGTCTTTTTTTGTTAATTTAGCAAAAAATAAAAAACCCTGGTGATGATTAAATACCACCAAAAGAAAGCTCTAGTTGTGTGAAGAAAATGATAAAATTTTAGTTTGGGTACAATGTTGTATGACTGCACAATTGTCAAAGTGTGAGAGCGCTGAAACCTGAATGGCCTGGGCAGGAAGGTGTAAAATTGCCCGGTATTGAATTGGTTAAAATACACCTATGACAAAAATTATAGACCCTTCATTTCATTGTATGTGGGCAAACTTGCAGGGGATCAAATATTATTTTGCCACTGTACATATTTCAAACTTATTTCCTATCACTTCTTTAACAATTAGCATGCCGTCTCACTAAAGATACACAATCTTCCACTAATCGGTGTCCCTTGCCTGCCCTGGCAGTGGATGATGTTATGGGGTGTAACGTGGACACAGAACTGAGATCTCACTAATGCTTAGTACATGCAATAAGAAAATGGGACAAAGAAAAAATGTTTTCGGAGTGATCATACTATAATCTGATCATTAGTGCACAGCTTTCGAGAGCCGATCATAACAGATCATGCAAAATTATCTGAAGGGACAAGTAAGAAAATATTTCTTCTGAGATTGAACGATTTTACTTTAATCAGTACAAGATTTGTCCATAAAAAATCAAGTGACCAAGACCGCGCATGCTCAGAAATATAAGAATACATTACAATACAATACATTACATCATTGAGGGACAATCATTCATCCAATATTCTCTTTGTGTTTACTAGGCTTTACTATCATTTATTTTGTTTTCTTTAGGGGAGAAGCATGGTGGAGTGGAAGACAAAGTCGAGTTTTGAATTGACCATGAATTCCAGGCAAAGAGGTGCCCTGACCTCTATTCTAACTGCCCCCAAATTGTGATTGGACAGTAAAGGAGATGAAGCAGACTAAGGAGCTCATCTCTCAGTTCATTCTGGTCATCTTGTCAGCACATGAAAGTTGCATACCTGATTGCCTCCTTGTGTTGCCCTCCTACTCCCAGTCTAATCTCTGCTGTATAGAGGATTGCAAAAAGTTGATACAAAGCCAAATTCAGATTCTTTTACAAGTTGCTTTTAAAAGATTTTTTTTTCTTCTTTATCGTACATCACGGGACACAGAACAGGCTATAGTAATGACTATGTGGACTTTATGCCATCTATAGGTGAATGGACACTGGCCGATCAATTAGAGAGGAAGTCCTCCCCTATATAACCCCTCGCACACAGGAAGCACCTCCGTTTTTTGCCAGTGTTTTCTCCGCACTGTTGAGCACCAGAAAGCCGCCTTCAGGAAGCTTCCATTACAGGACCTGGAAATCTGTTTTGCCTGGGGTGAAGCCAGGTAGTGGCATCCATGGAAATGGGTGACTAAAAGGGTAATTTCCTTTTTTCCTATCAGGAGTGGAAATGGAAAAACCTTAAAGTGGTTGTAAAGGCTGAAGGCTTTTTATCTTCGTGCATTCTATGCATGAAAGTAAAAAACCTGTGTTCAGCAGCTCCCCTAGCCCCTCAATACTTCCTGAGCTTCATCACGATCCAGCAATTGGAATAACAGCCTTGGCTGTCCCAGCTCTCTGCCTCCTCATTAGCTGAGACAGCAAGCGGGAGCCATTGGCTCCCGCTGCTGTCAATCACAGCCAGTCAGCAAATAAGGAGATAGAGGGGGTGAGGCCATGCCACGGCTCCATGTGTGAATGGACATATGGAGCAGAACATGCCCTCTTAGCAAGCTGCTTGCTGTGGGGGCACCCGACAGACAGGAGGAGCCAGGAGAGCCGATAAGAGGAGGATCCGGGCTGTTCTCTGCCAAACCACTGCACACAATAGGTGAATATAGACATGTTTGTTACTTTAAAAAAAAAAAAAACCTTAAGAATCGCTTCAAGTGCCATTTAGGGTCAGATTTCAGCTCTATCCATTTTTTCTCCAGAGGCTGTTGTTTCTCACTCCTTGATTCATATTTCATGCAGGATGTAACACAACATGGTCCAGTCTGTCAGGCCACCCTGGTGTCCTGGGGATTTGAACTGGATCTTGGTTGTCCTTGCAGAGGCCACCTTTTGAACCAAGGAGATTTAATCTTTTGACTTAGAAGGTGGTTTCTTTGATTACTGCCACTTCGGCAGAAATAGTGTAAAAGCTGTCAGCACTTTCATGTAAGGAGCCATTCTTGGTCTTTCAAAATGATGACGTGATGTTGCGTCTTCATCCATCTTCCTACCTAGAGTGTTTTTTTGGTTTTCACTTAAATCAGGACAGTGTCTTGCCTTTCTTTTTTTCCTAGTCCACAGTCGGCAGGGGAAAGAGCACTGCATACTCTGGATGGAACTTCAGGTGTTTAGGACTTACCTGAGTTTGGTGGCACAGGTCAGGAATCTTGGTTTGTGCTGCCAGAAGGGCCCTGAAAGGCCAGGCGGCATCCAGGTCAACTATTTATCATTGGATCTGCCAGTTAATCATTCAAGCCTATGGTTTGAAGGATAAGGTTCCATCCTTTTGGGTGAGAGCACACTCTACCAGGAGTGTGGGGGCATCTTGGCTATCCGCCATCAGGCGTCAGTTGCTCAGGTTGCAAGGCCTCTACATGGTCTTCGGTTCATATGTTCACAAATTCTTACCAGGTGGATGTCAGAACTGTGGAGAATACTGCATTTGGCCGCAGCGTATTGCAAACAGCTGTATAAGCTCCTTTTGGGATTGATGTTGGTGGTTATTGTGATGTCACCCACCCCTCAAGGTTGTATTGCTTTGGGACGTCCTACATAGTCATTATTATAGCCTGCTCTGTGTCCCATGATGTATGATAAAGAAAATTGGATTTTTTTTCTACATACTTACCTGTAAAATCTATTTCTCTTTCTGGAATTTCATTGCTTGATACAAAAACTGAGGTACTTCCTGTGTAGGATTGTATATATAGGGGAAGACTTCCTGTCTGATTAGTCGGCCAGTGACCCTTCACCTATAGGTGGCATATAACCTACACAGTCATTATTACAGCCTGCTCTGTGTCCCGTGATAACTCCACTCAAGAAATGGATTTTACAGGGAAGTATGTAGAAAAAATCAAATTTTTTTTTTATCTGCCTGAAGTTTAGCTTTATAGTCCACTTTAAGCAATAAGCAGTTTTTTTCTATTTACCACCATTCAGAAAACAGCATTCTATTTTAACCGCTTCCCCGCCGCCCTATAGCAAATATACTGCTACAGGGCGGCAGGGGTGTGCAAAATCACGTATATATTCGTGATTTTGCATTTCCGGGTAGGGGGCATTCGCGGCCACGGCTGTCAATCACAATCGGTGATTACCCGC